AAAAATAAACACACTTGTCTGAAAGGTTTTCTATGATTTTGCCCCGCACAGTTGATTAGATTTCAAAGGAATTTTTTTTATTGTTTTTTTTTTAAGAAAGCAAGTTTAGGTAAACCTTGAGAATAAAATAGATCGCGGTTTCATTTCAGTTTGACAAAATGTAGCATTTTGATACTCATTGCTGCCTTTCCGCCCCCAGGATCCCAAAGAAAATTGAGGAAAGCAAAATCATGCTGAGATGCCTCCCCAGCACCTTCAGAAATACGGGATGGTCCCCAAAACAAAACCCATCAGTTCTCTCCAGTTCACAAAGGGGGAAGTATGAATAGAAAACCTCAGGGCAGACTGGAGTGGAGGACAATGTGTACAGGCCCACCTAAGCTAAATTTCCACTTCTCTAAAAGTCTCCTGGCCTTTGGCTGGCAGAGAGGCTGCTGTTAATTTGGCTCATTTAGCAGGAAAGGGAAGGTGGGTTGAAGGCAGTGGCCAATGAACTTGACTCAGAGCAGATGGACAGCTTCAGTCAGCTTTCTTTTCTCCCTAAAAGTCAAATATCTCACTCTTAGCTCTTGCAATTTAGAAGATGGTAGAATCATCTCTTTTTCACTTTTTAAAATTAAATTTCTGAGTGGCTAAAAACCCATAGCCATAGAGTCATGTTTCTGTTTTCTAGAAAAAGAAGAAATTGGTGGTGGGGGGGTGCGAGGAGCTCTGAGTCTTGTAGTTATTTGCCTGACTCTACTTTGGTTGAAAGTGTACCATAATGTGGCAATTTTCCATCAGATAGGAATGTGTTTGCAGCACAAGAAGGAGCCCACAATCTAGTTAAAGAGTAACCCAAGAAGAGCGGTTTGGAGTGAACTTTTCCCTCCTCATTGTTCCCATTTCTTTTTTGCTCTTTCCTGGAAGTCCAACCTACTCTATTGTTGCAAAGCCCCTATTTTAAACTTATTGCAGCAGATAGGTAGGGCTAGTTAGTAAAGTCAGCCATTGTCACTTTAGCATGATGAATATTTTGCAGAGCTTCATCTGGTGACACTGACATCATGAGACTCTTGATACCTTTGAGCAGGAAAGAAACTTAGAGGTCATCACCCGGACTCCACCCAGTGTGGGCATCCCTTTGGGAACACCCCAGCCACTGGTCAATCTTCCAGGGTGCTGGAACACTGCCTGGGACAGGGCGTTCACCACGCCACAAGGCAGCTCACCCATTTTTAGACCATTCTGATGGTAGGTAAATCCTTCCGCACATTGAGCTGAAATGTGTTACCCTATAATTTCCATTTATTGATCCTCTGATGACTTTCTTTTTTTCCCACACTGAGCAACCCTGAAATATCTGAAGGCAGCCTTCCTGTGCTACAAGACTTACTTCTTACTTCTGTTCTTTGGCCTGCCTCCTTTTTTAAAAGCTGGTGAATTTTTTGAAATAATGTATTATGCACTTTAGCTAATTAATCTTCTTAAAACTTTGTGTGATAAATATCAGCACACATTTTCAGAAACAAAACTAAGACTTGACAAGATACAATCACTTGTTCAAGGTAGGGGACTAAAAATGAAGTCTGCCTCTTTCTAGACCACTACATGTCTCTGATTAAAAAAGAAATGTTGAACCAGATATAGTCAAGGCTGATCTCGTCTATAGTCTGAGAGCCATGGTAGACCACTAGAAACCTCCCATGCCTACTAACACCGATTTGCTGTTACAATTTGTGCTTATTGGTAGAGATTAATGTGAATTTGAGCAGTTTGGAAGTGAACAACAAAAAACACTCAGCTGCCAAAAGGCATCTGTAAACAAGGTGGACATGCAGAAAGTAAGGGGGCAGAGAGAAGAAGAAGCAGCAGGAAAACACAACAAAATTCTGGAGGCCCAGGAGATATCTCACTTGGAAACTTTGGACAATGAGGGAGCAAGAGAAGAAGGCTTGAAGAGAGAAGGAGTGATCACATGAGAGTCTAAGTGGTTTGCTTCAGCCTAATTCTGGTGGTTGTGTCTGGAGAACAAACAGGAAGTATTTGTTTTCTCCAACTGCCCATGAATTCTATAGAGTGCAAAGCCTGGGGTCAAATGATTCTATGTCCTGCCCCAACGTTTGATTCTAGGTGAAATCTGACTAGGACATAAGTCTTGAGACAAAAAAAAAAAAGGAAAATCCTAGATGTATGTCCTTGTAGCTGTGCCACAGCGCGGGTCAACGCAAGGAACTGGTTATATGTCTACCAGCTTCTAGACTTTTCCTGCACTCGTGGTAGAATTACTTTCTTCCCTTCTCCTGGCTACTTTTCCAAAGCAGAGACTGTGTAAGGATGGCCCTTCCTCCTTCCTCAGCTGACCTGTTTCAAACCAACTCATACTTAGTGGGGTCCTCTAAGTTTCAGGGCACTGCTCCCTCCCAGGGCCACATTCTGCTCTTGGGAAAGTACCAAAGGACAATGCTAATGTCTATGGTCAAGTCCATGGGCATAGAAATGGAATGTCTCCCTTAAGATCTCTTTGCCAGTTTGACTGAGAGAACTATAGAACACAGCCTTTCAAATTACCATGTAGCATGAGACAACGTGAGTGCACAGGTTCCCTGGGTATGATCTTCTCTGTGTGCTTTATGAAGCTAGGGTCTTTTTCCCCTGGAGCTCTTTGTCTTGTTCACCACTTGAGAAAATCAAGGGTCAGAGAAAGGTTGTGGACCCATGCAAGGTCACATGGCAAAAGAGTTGCAGGTGCAGGGACTAAATTTGTACACCAAAGAATAGTTCAGCTTTCCTTCTACTGAACCACACTGCCTTCAAGCTCTCGATGCCTTTACTTGGATGTGCCAATATTTATTAGGGATTTATTACCAACATTTATTAGGGATGTGCTAACATTTATTAGGGATCAGGCTTGTTCTAGTTTTCTTTAATGCTTCTGTAAGGACAAGCAGCATAGAGGATGACAAAATGTAAGTCCCCTACATGAGAATTGCATGGAGGCGGGACTCTCATCTGTATTGATTGCCATCATATCTATAACACACTGCCTACTATGTGAAAGATGTTCAGTAGGCTAATTGTGGTGGAGAATGAGAGGGACTGACAGGGAAACACCTCATGAAAGAGACTATCCACAGAGATATCGAGTAATAGATTCTAAAAGGCTTGGCATATAGTAGGTACTCAAAATATTTGGTGAATAAAGGAAACCAGCAACATCTCAGGAAAAAAGAGTGTGGAAAATTGTTATAGAGATTGACAGTTTCTTGAAAAAATTCAAACTATAGATTTCAATCTGATAATTTGGATTCTTCAGACAATGTATACATTCATTCACTCTTTAAACAAACATCAATTGAGAACAAGATATGTATCAGACATTGTGTTAAGTACTATGGATTCAGAAATAAGAGACCGATAGCTTCTCAAGGGAGAAAACAAATATAACAGCCATCATTTAATGTTACTGAAGGCTGTGACAAAAACATTCTACCAAGTGCCATGAAAATCACAGACTTGAGGTCACTTAATAGGAGGTAGACTGGATGAAGGGGAATAGAGGAGTACAAATCAGGCTGCAATGAGTACTTGGTTGGTGAAGATGAATGGAGGCTTCTTGGGCAGGAAGAACAACACACATAGGAGAAGGTAGGCATGAGAGTGCTCACGTATTGGGGAAATGGAAAGTATTCACTACAGTCAGGTGGTGAGAGGATGAGGCTGGCAGGATGGACCTTGAAAGTCTTGTCTACCCTTCTAAAGTCAGTGCTTCCCAAGCTCTATGTGAATTTAGTTCTTGTGAACTTCCCAGGGACCTGATTAAAATGCAGATTCAATCATTCTGGGGAGAGGATGGAGAATTTGTTCCCAAGTGGTCATCCCAAGTGATGCCTGATGTATCTGGTCCCCAGATTACACTGTAGGTAGCAAGCTATAAGCAACAGAGTGCAATAGAACTATCTCGCTGAGACTGGTGTTATCAGAATTGTATTTTCCCAAGAGTCTTACAGTAGGATATGGAAGATAGAATGGAGGGACTCTGTACTGAGGCAAAATACATAAGTGGTAGGAAATTATGAGCATCTGAATAAATGAGCCAGGGAAGAATAGTGAATGTTCAATAAATAGAACATTTATCAAAGTTGGTTGATATTCTATGAAGTTCATATACACTATTTCTCTTAAAGGAAAGGCTGGTTGTGAAGACTAAATGAAAAACAGGACAAAAACAGAATCCACAGGAATATGTAGTGTTATTTGAATAAGACTTGACTCCTCTCTAGGTCTCAGTTAACACATCAACTTGAACCCTAACAGTGACCAACAAGAGCAGCCAGCTAAGAAGTGAGCACCATCCCTACAGACGATTACCACAACAGAATAAATAAAATCAGCCTCCTCAGCCATCACTTGATATTCATTGTCACAACTTATATTGAATTTCAGGAAACTTCAGGAAAAACAACTTTTCATCACAAGTTCTAGAAAATAACATGGAAGTTCTCCAGATCCCTGAACAAAGTGTTTGTTCCTTTTTTACCTATCATGCCTGGGAACCCTAAACTAGAAACACCTGTTTCCATTTCTGTTAGGAAAAAAATCCTCTGTCGGACTCTAGTACATCTTTAAAAATACCAGAAAGGAATAAAACAGAAATCATGGTAGGAGTCTACATGATTGAAAAGAAAAGGCTATTGGTAAACTTTTCCCCTTTATACAGAAGCTTAAAAATATATAGCTTCTAATGAGACTTGCACTCCAAAGACAATAAGAATCATTGTCATGGTCTGTATGCTATGTGAGTGAGCATTCTTTATCCAAAGATACACACATTCCAAAAATCCAAATGCCATATTCCCTTTCACTATTTTTTCTCACAGTCTTTTAAACCAGTAAATCTCCACAAGACACAGGTTGAGAACATGCCTATGCTCTAGAAATGACACAGGGACATACACATCTACTCCAGAACAGTTTAATTCACATTTAACAAGATAGAGCAGAACAATACAGGTACCTACCTTTCTCCTCTGAGATTTGCAAACTCTTGAAATTTAACCTCTTACTGAAGATCTTCTCCAAATATTTCTTAGGTGAGGTGAAACTTAAGGATGCCCCATTCAATCACACAGCCAGAAAAAGGTGGGATTTCACAAGACCAGTCTTTGGATGCTGGGGCTCTCACAGGCTTCCAGACTGCAGGGAGCAGAGGTGAACTGCCTTCTGTTCTCTGCTGCAGGAAAAAGCCAGCCGGGTGACCCTGGGGGTGGGGACAGGGACTGGGGGAAGGGAAGCGATATGGGGGTTGTAATAAATGAGAGATCCTCTCCACATGATTTCCTGTATTTGGTGCCTGATGCCTCTCTCCCGACTCCCTAGAGGAAATAAGAAATTTAAACTTGTCCTCTGGCCACTGGAAGGAAAAGAAACATGCTTAGAACCATGAAAAGAGAAAGAGTGGGACCCCAGGCAGAGAGCTGATGAGCCAGTGAGTTTTACCTTTCACTAAGTGCTTTCTTCCTGAGGTTTCCCTAAGTGTTAACTCTGCAAAAGTCAAGAATGCCCTCATCCTCTTGCACTGAGCTGAGGCGTATTCTGGTCACAGTCCAGATGTCCCTGTTACAGAGCAGCGGATGAGAGGCGAGTCAGAACAGGCCCAAAAAGAGACCGTTCTCAGCCTCAGGAAAGATCCTCTCTGCTCTGTCTTGTTCCTAATTTTGGAATGACTCCCTAAGGTCCTTAGGCCATTTTGTCCTAGGGTTTAAAGAATTTTTTGAAGGTCAACATCCATGGATTGTTAGAAGTGGGGACCTCTACATAATTAGTGGGACTCAGTGTAAAATGAAAACGTAAAGCTACTTGGTTAGAAATTAAGAATTTTAAGATGGTGTCAACAGAGCATTAAACCAGGTTTGAGGGCCCTTCTGAACCCCAGGCTTTATGCAGCTGTGCAAGTTGTATACTCATGAAGCCAGTCTTGGCTAGAGAGAAGATGGGGACACATTTATTTTAACAAGCTGAGTTGTCAAGAGGTGTCTGGACTGTTTCCATTTTGACCTGTGGGGTGACAGTCCTTGAACAGCAGTACTCTCAGAAGCTGGTGCAAGGGGGGAAGTGCTGAGTTGTGGCTACCAGCAGGCATAGACCACAAGTGTAACACTGAGTTAAAATCACATCAACAGTCTCCTTGCCTGCATTTTCCCTCACCTCCAATCCATTCTCCTCCCAGTAGCCAGGGAACTCTCTCTCAAATGCAATCCTCATTGTAGGCTCTGCATGCTTAAAATCTTTCAGGAGTAAGAATAAAAGCCAAACCCTTAACACTCACTGGCTAACCTCTCCTACTTTCCCTCAAAACCCACCTCTACCTGATCCCTCCTCATGCCCCTTCCCATTCCCTCCTTCCCCACCTCTCTTCACTGACTGGGAATCACTCAATGAAGAGTGCCATGAAGTGTGCCCTTTCCCAATACCCCAATCTTTTGACTCTCACATCCTCCAGAATGTGTTTTCCAACTTTGGGGCCTCTTTGGTGTTCTTCCAAGCTAACCACACTTATCTCTCTCAACACGCTCAAAGTGAGGAAGCCTGGCTACTTGTCCCTCTGTCTCCTGCTGGGCTGTTGCCCTATGAGGTCAGGGACTGTGACTGTTTCAGCACTATATCCCTAGGACTGAGGATGCAGCAGTGTCTGATTTGTGCGAGTTTAGTGTTAGGAGGAGGAGCATCATTAATTGCAGTTATTACATGTTGGGAAAAGGAAAAGTATATGACTCAGAGGAATACACAAGATTGTTGTTATGGTTTTACAGATAAAGTGAATCAACTTCAGGGCAACATTACAGTGCTGTTGCTGAATATTTATTAAGATGCCACAGTTGTCTTGTGTTGTATGCCCCTTTCTTACAGAGACTGAATTATAAATAAGCAATTGACTCTGCTCAAGAAATGAAGTCTTAAACATGCCTGCAAGAAGGAGAACTGAAGTCAGCAAGGGTGAAGGAAGCGGGAAGCTGTTGGAAGCAAGGACAGAGAGAGGGAAAAAGAAGGGAATGTGAAATGGGTGAGTGGAAGGGAAAGAGAAAAAGAGAAGGGGGAAAAATGCGAGGCTGGAGAAGGACAGGAAAGGTAGGAAAAAGCCAAGGAAAGAACAAAGGAGAGAAAACAGTGAGGTAGTGAAGGTAGAAGACAAGGGTTGAAAACCCACCCATTGGTTGCCATGCTCATCATTTGGGTGATAGGTTCAATAGAAGCCCAGCCCTCACCATCATGCAATATATCCATGTAACAAACGTGCACATGTACCCCTTGAATCTAAAATTTCAAAAGAAAGAAGTAAGGGGAGGGAGGAAGGGAGGGAGAGACAGAGAGAGGGAGGGAAAGAGAAAACAGTGAGGTGTGAAGATAAGAGGAAAACCACTAACAAAGGCCTGCATTTCAACTAGAAGCAGCGCACCACAGGCAGGCTCTGCAAGACCTGCCTGACTCTCCTGCACCTTCCTGTGCTCTATGATGAGTTACTCTGTGCTTTTTGGAAGCCAAAAAAGCAGAAAGGGGTCTAGGGCCATGCCACAGTGCTTCTGTTACAACACAGAAATTAGCTTCTACGTTTTGCTTGAACTTTGAAGCATAATTAAAGCCACAAAATCATTTTTTAAAATTTCACAATTTCAGACACTTTCATGACAACTTTACAACTAGGATTTCTGAGCATATATTCTGGTTATTTTCTGTGGTTCCTCTGAATCAAGAGGTCACTGTGTGTTTATAAGGGTTGTCTGTGATTAAGAAGCCCCAGTGAAGGTTGCCTGATTGGAGTGCAAGCTGCAGGAATAAGACCCATTTTCTCACATCTACAAAGATAGTAAGGATATGGGTGATCTGAATATCTGGGTTTGTGGACTTCATTGTAATTTAATACATATGTATGTCTATAATAAAGCAAAGATAAGTATTAAACCAATCATTTGAAACTTGTTTATGAAGTCTCAGTTTGGTTCCTAATTGATAGATACTGGAAATGGAAGTGTCAGAAAAAATAGTGAAAGACTTTGAAATGGAAAGAGACGAGAAGGGTGTTCTGTGATCAGAATGTTGATTGTTGCTTAGCAAACAACACTCAAGTGGGGAGTTGCATTTATAAGGGTCTATACTTTGATTATCTTTGACTGTTTTATAATTCTGAAGGATGTAGAAATAGTAATGCAAATGATTCTTGTCTTTAGAAATGCAAATTAATTTTGTCCAGTAGGGTTATAATTGACTTCCACCCTAGAGAACCGATTATTCCAAACATTACATTTTAGTGCATGTTAGGATATTAGCCAGTTTTGCATCTATTAGCAAATTCAGTTCTGCATTTCTAATTGTCTATATATAAATAGATCTGCCCTTGAGATTTCCCTTGGAAGGAGTTTTAACATTTTGCTGCTCCCCTTATTCATTAATGAGTTAAATAAAAGTCTCTGTCATATGTTCACATGAGACACAGGATTGCACTTTTTAAAAGTGACCTTTTAATAGAAGTCAGGTGGTGACCAGTGCTTATGGCAAGTTGTATCAGTAATTTGCAGTGGCAGGACTGTTTGCTTAAATATTTTGCCTAGTTTTATATGTTCCCTTGAGTGTGTAAAATAAAAACAGGAAATAAACTAAGCATGTTGATTATGAAAGTAAAAGACAAAGCTTTATCAGCTGAACAACTAGGAGAGTGCAGAGTTTCAGTTAAAGCAGAAGTAGAGGTGAAGCCCAAAGCAGGGTTACATAAAACAGTACCTGGACATAGGTTTACTAATTATGATGGAAGTGGCCTAGGTTTGGAGCCATTGAAATCAGCTCATTGGAAGGAAGAAGACCTTGATAAGCAAAGGGCACATATTTCAGGTGTTTAGCAGCTCTTTAAGATGGTAGTTATAGGAATTCTAGCTGCATAGGCAATTATTCAGAAGTGTTCTACTGTCAGTCAGTTACAGCAAACCCTTTAACAAAGAGGACAGTGGCATTTTGACAGGAAGAGACCAGAAAATATCGATATGTTTATGTGGTTTGTTTTTTCTTTAATTTTTCTATTTGTTGTATTTTTAATTTGTGTGGCTTACAATATATGTTTTTAATATCAAAGATGTAAAAAGATTTATCTTTAAGAATAGTCTGGCCAATCAGTTCAATTTCACTCACTAAAGCTGTTAGCACCAGATAAATGGGTAAACATAAAAGCCTTTTTTATTGTGTTTTTTGTTTGTTTGTTTTTTACTTAATGAAGCTGCCATTATTCCATAAGAAAAAATTGACACACCTAAGCTCAGTGTGGAAGTGCAGATATTTTCCTGGGAAAGTGATTCCTGATTTTGGAGTAATCATGAGAATTATAAATGATCATGGCAAGTAACAGAGCAAATGTGATCTGCTGGGTGTTCAATGACCACTTATTAAAAACATGCAGCTCTTTCTCTAAAAGCTATAAGTAGCTGTGGAAAGTAAGACTCAGTCATAGACTCAGTCCCACCAGCTTCAGCTTCACCTGCATTAGAGGAGGCAGGTCTCATACCATTTGCCAACTACTAATAATGCATTTGTCATTGAAGACAGCATTAAAAAGGCCCTAAGAAGGAGTTCTACAACTTTCATTATTTCACTGAGAGATGAAAAGGAAGTGTATAACCAATAATATCAAAGTACAATGTCCAAGAGGGAACATATATGTGAAACATCAATAGGAATGTTCTTGAAGAAAAAAGAAATGTTCACCATAAATAAGGCAACTGACCAGTACCATATGCTGCCCTTGAAAATGAAAGCCTTAAGAAAAAAGGAAGGGTGGGGGAAGAAAGGAAAGAAGGAAAGGAAAGAAAAGAAAAGGAAGGGAAGGGAAGGAAGAAAGATACTAGGGAACTAGGAACTCTACACACTGCTGAGTGCAATTTGGCAAATCATTTCAGAAATCATTTTGGCAGTATCCAGGATAGTTCAAATATCTGGCCACTGCACAGAAAATGCAAGGGTGCTGAATTGCAAGACTCTTTATAATAACTAGAACTTGCAGAAGCACATATATGCCTCAGTAGGAAAAGGAATTTTAAATGTTTGGCATTTTTACAGGAACAATGACCTAGGTGGGTAGATAGATAGATGTAGATATATACATATATTTATATCTATATGTATATACACACATATCAATATTAAATTTTTTAAAGCCAGAGGTAAAAAGTTAAAAAAGCCATTTGCAGAAA